GCGTGCGTGCGTGCGTGCATGCTCAAGATCCTGAGAGGAGAATGGAGGAGAAGGGATTGCGGCGTGGCCGTCCCCCCTGGGGGGTGATTTCTCGCTGTCTCTCTCCATCTTTCTGCGGAGTGCACGTGCCCTATAGCAAATACCTCTCAAAAAAAAAAAAATGTGTTTCTGGTTCCATTGCATTTATTTAAAAAATAGTTTTTTAAGAGACTGGCAGATGGTGTGGTAGTTGAAGCACTGACTCCCACATGGCTGATTGCAGTTCGAGTCCTGGACCTGGCAGCTTGCTTCCCTCCACCTCTCCTCCCCTCTCCCCCCTCTCGTCTCTTTCTAGTTGTGCACAGAAATTATGTATTTAATTTTACTTATTAGTATTATTTTAAAATTTGCTATAGAGCACCGGTACTCACCAGAAAGAGACACCTTTCCTCCAGCATGTTAGCCATCATGCCACCTGCTGGCCCCTGGTTCCATTGCATTTAAAATAAAATCCATACTTCTCATATTGGGCTGAGAGAGTCTGGGTGATCTACCTACGGCCCACTCTATCTCCTTTTCTTAAAAATATAAGAATTATTTTATTTTAGTTGTTATTATTTAAAAAAATTTGACCAGAGAGAGAAAGGGAAAGTGAGAAAGCAAGCCACCAGGTCTGGGACTCAAACTGTGGTCAGCCATATGGGAGTCCAGCACCTTAACCACTGTGCCATCTGCCGGTCCTCCTGTTTCCTTATTTAAAAACGTTTGCTATTGGGTGCTTGTGCTCATTACAGAGAGACAGACAGAGACAGAGAGAGGGTAAGTGAGAAATCACCTCCCGGGGGATGGCCATGCTGAAGTTCCTTCTCCATTCTCCTCTCCGGATTTTGAGCACAGCATGTATTTCAAGTTGCTGGGTCCGGGACTCGAACCACGAAGTTGGCCGTGTGGGATCCACTGCTTTAACCACCAACGCACCTGGTGACCCCACCCTATCTCTTTAATTACATTTCCTGCCACTCCTGCTCCTCTCTTCCGCGCAGCTGGTCCTCTTTCACTTCCTCCTTGGGATAGTATGTGTTCCCTCCATGCCCTCGCAGTGCTGTTCTGTTTTCCTGGAATGAATCATTTCTCCCTCTTCCCTGGCTAGG